GTGTGTGGAGAGAGAGGGAGAGAAAGAAAGAGAAGGGGGAGAGAGAGAGAATATACAGCAAATGTCCATAACTGGTGAATCTAGGTGAGAGGTATATGAATGTCTGTTGTAATATTCTTGCAACTTTCCTGACGTTTTTTGAGATTTTTCAAAATAAAAAGTGAGGGCTGAAAAAGCAAGTCATGTCTGAAGGAAAGCCACATCCCTCCGACACCAGACCCTAGCTTTCAGGCTATCTGCCACTTGGACCACTCTCAGTCAGGTGACTGGGAATCACCAAGGAAAGCTCCCTGTTAGCAAATTCCAGAAGCCGAGGTGGCCCATTCCTTTAGCTTTCAGCCTAAAATAAAACACAAATTCCAGAGAAAAAAAGGCCAAAGCGTTCACTGGACATTTCACCTGGGTGTCCAGTGGAAATAAAACCGGCAATCAGCTGAAGCTTCTTTGACGGCAACAACCCGCTTAAAGCTTACCTGACGATAGGTCATAAAGCGCAGTGACGGAAGTTATGAACTGGCAGCAGAAGCGAGGGCTCGCACTGAATATCTGCTTCAGCGTCTGAACAGATCCTGGCACCAAGCAGCAGTAGTCATCCACGAGGGCCCTGGCTAACCTCACACAGTAGACCACAGGCGTCCGCTGGAAAGAAGCCACGGTCATGTAACTACATGTGTCGTGAGCTAGTAGATGAGCAACTATGTACATATGGTGAAGGCCACCAGAACAGGCAGAACCACTTCCAAGAAAAGAAAAAGATGTTCACAGCTTACTTTGAAGCAGGGATTGGCAAACTAAAGCCCACAGACCAAATCCATCCCGCCACCTGTTTTTGTAAATAAAGTTTTATTGAAACACAGCCCTGCTCATATGTTTGCCTATCGTCTGAAGCTGCTCTTGCACTACAAGGGCAGAACTGAGTAGTTGTGACGGAGACTATCTGACTCACGAAGCCTAAAATATTTACTATCTTGCCCTTCATATAAAAGGCTTTGAAGTTTACTTAGCAAAGATCATTTCTGACTTCAGGTGAAGAAATGACAATTTTTGTGACCCTACAGGTGAGACTCTTAAGGCAAAAATGAACAGTTGCTACCACTTTCAAGAGCTTCAGAAGAGTGTGTGAACTACCACGATTTAGAGCAGGACACTCTCAACTTACAATCCTATTCTCTTACAGGCTTTCTATTATAGGTTTCTATAATTCTTTCGAATCCTACATCATCACTCTCCTCTGCCTTTTTCCCTCCCACTCAGATGCCCATCTGTAGCTACTGCCACATTCAACAGCTGCTCAGGATGCTATAGTTCCAGGCCCCCAACGTGGCCTGCAGGGGAATCTGAGAGGAGATAGAAGGCCACATTGTTCATTCAGGCTGAAATCTGCCCCCACAACACTAATCCAGCCATCTCTACCTTTCCTCAGGAGGAAGCTGCAGCCCCTCGCCCCAGTGTGGCAAACCCTGACTCAAACCACTCAGACCCTTTCTTGTCGCTGACATCTGCTCATTTAGCCAGCACAGGAGCATCGTGAGAGATAAATGGAAAATTATACTATGAATTAGAGGATGCTAAACTTGACTCCATTAGGTTATCAAGGGATAGAGGTAATCCTGAGGTTAAATATAACACACATGTTCAAGTCAGATGCCCCAGAAATCGGACTGGTGAGAATTAAGGTACAGACTCCACTGAGATTTACCTATGTGCTATAAGGAACACTACACATAGAATAAAAAAGAACATATACCTCTGTTAGCCAAATTTTAAGAATAAACAAAATTACAAGAAAAACATTTAATTAAATTGAAAAAAAAAAGACTGTATTTGGGAATGAAGCAGGTTTGTGAAACTGAACATAGTAAACTCCGTATGCTTAGCTGAGGATCACATTAATCAAAATTTTACTGATTACTCAAAGTGGATTATCAATTTTTCAAAGACTTTGAGTAACAAAAATGTAAAACAAAATGGATCTTCCAAAATACCATCTAACACGAAACCTATTGTAAATATACATTTTTTTCTTTGGATATTTAAAAACACTCTAGAAGGTTCTTATGTCCATATCCATTAGAAGAGTCATCAACTTTGCAATGTCACGTGGAACAGTGCAAAACAACTCACATGCTTACTGACCTAACTGTATAGAAAACAAACATTACCACAATTTGACATATAACCATCTTTTCAAAAAAAATCCTATCTTTGAGGCTGCATGCATACCTGTTTTCAAAATCATACCTTATCATTTTCACCTAAGAAAAAGGATTTTTCACTTGTTCTGCAGATAGTGGCTGCAGATTTTCTTTTTAAATTCATTTAAAATTTTTTTTGAAGAAAATTTAAATTTTCTTTTTAAAATTCATTTACCATTACAAACTGTTTTCTCAAGAACTGTTACTACCTGTATGTAAAAATAGGACTGACACATCAGCACACAGGGTAGTGACAATCAGGAGATAAGACATGTGGAAAAGACCTCTCCCAAAATCCAATTAAATGAAAATTCCTGACAGTAAACTCCTCTTCGGACACTCTCAGGAAAAGGCTGTTTCTAGAGAAGTACCTGGAGCCAGGAGGCTGCACACTCCAACACTGGGATTCGGCACACTGCCACTGCCATGGAGACCAGTTTTCCCAACAAGTTCATCCGGCTGTCATCGGCTTTGTTCCCTTGGGGGCTGAAAAGGGAGGAGAAAATAATCTGCCGGACAGAGTCCTTGGTTTGCTCCTGGAAATAATTGCACATGATTTCAAGAAGTTGGAGCTCCTGAAGTGAATTCAATCTCTGTAAAACAAACCCAGGAGAAGCGACAAGAAATTTGGCTGTAACGTGTTTATTAATTCAAACAGTAAAAAAACAAAAAATATACTCTTTTCCCCGGGAGAACTTTTCACCCCTCTAAAGCCCAGGTCCCAGGGAGTAGCACTCCACTGTTAATCTCATCAGCCATCATCATACATCATCCTGGGGGACTCAGGATGACCTCACAGCGCTTTGAGACTCTCCATAACAGCCTTTAGTGCGGCTCGTGGGCAGTCCGCAAAGTCTCTTCCTTTTACACCCTTGAGACATGGCTGTCATAAGCCCGCAAAACAGACACTCGGCTGAGCAATGCTCAGGACTCAGGACAAGGTGGCTTTTGCCTGCTGCTGCTGAAGGAGCACGGGCGTTTGTGGCTTGGCACACACTCGTCACCGAGGGGGGAAGAGGGGGCCGGGGGGTATGGACTCATCGGGGACGCGGTGTGGGCAGCCGCCGCCCGCCGCACCTTGGGCTGCGCGCCGCGCTCCTTGGGCACCTGGAACACGAACTCCTCGAGCAGCTCCACGGGGCCCTTGTCCACGATGGGCAGCGGCGCGCTCTGCAACTGGCTGCTGAAGTAGATGTCCAGGTGGTACAGCACCTCCTTGGCGGCGCTCAGCGCGTCGCGGCGCAGCAGCGAGTGGCGGATGTCGCTCATGGTGCGGCCGCGGCGGCCCGGGGCCCCGGGAGCGCGTCGGGACTTCCGCCCCGAGCCCC